CTTTAGAGTTATTATCTCACTAGAGGCCCAGTGCATGAAATTCGTGTGTGTGTGTGTGGGGGGGTGTCCCTCAGCCCGGCCTGCACCCTCTCCAATCTGGGACCCCTTGGCGAATGTCTGACTGCCCGACATCCCTCTCGCAATCCGGGACCATTGGCTCCTAACCGCTGGCCTGCCTGCCTGATCACCCCTAACCACCTCTGCCTGCCGGCCTGATGCCCCTAACTGCTCCCCTGCTGGCCTGATTGCCCCTAACTGCCCTCCCCTGCCGGCCTGATCACCCCTAACCACCGCTGCCTCAACCCCTGCCACCGTGGCTTTGTCTAGAAGACATCTGATCTAATTACCATATTACCCTTTTATTAGTATAGATTTATTCTGCACAGCATTACTCTTCATTCATTCAACAAACACTCCCTGGATGCTTAATAATGATTAGGGATTAAGGGATGCAAAATTGAAAAATTCAGGGTTTCAACAAAACACACTTTTCTTTAGAAGAGGAAAACCACTGGTAAATGAGATGCTCCCCCTGATGATAAAAGGAAGACAAATTAGAAACAGTGTGATACCATTTTTCATTTCTTCGATTAACAAAGATTGGCATCACATGTTTGTGAGGATGCTGCGGAACCAGCATTCCCATACACTGTTGATGGGAATATATACTGATGCTTCCTCTTTGGAGAGCAATTTGGTAATATTTATCAACATTTCAAATATGCTTATATATTTTTGGAGGGGAGGAAGAAAATATTTGCAAATCATCTATCCCACAGTGGGCTTGTATACAGAATATTTAGAGAACTCCTACAACTCAACAATAAAAAGATAATGTTTGCCAAACCGGTTTGGCTCAGTGGATAGAGCGTCTGCCTGCGGACTGAAAGGTCCCAGGTTCGATTCCGGTCAAGGTCACGTACCTCGATTGCGGGCACATCCCCAGTAGGAGGTGTGCAGGAGGCGACTGGTCGATGTTTCTCTCTCATCGATGTTTCTAACTCTCTATCTCTCTCCCTTCCTCTCTGTAAAAAATCAATAAAATATATTTTTTTAAAAAAGGTAATGTTTTTAAAATGGGCAAAATATTTGAGTAGACATTTTACCAAAGAGACATATGAATAGGCTACAAGCACACAAAAATACACCCAGCATGCCATGGTCAGTGTGGCTCGGTTAATTGGAGATCTGCCTGTATATGGCAGGTTTCAATTCCTGGTTATGGAACATATCCAGGTTTCAGGTTTGATCCCCATTGCCGGGGAAGCAACCTATTGATGTTTCTCTCCCACACTGATATCTCTCTTCTCTTCCCTTCCCTTCCCTTCCCTTCCCTTCCCTTCCCTTCCCTTCCCTTCCCTTCCCTTCCCTTCCCTTCCCTTCCCTTCCCTTCCCTTCCCTTCCCTTCCCTTCTCTCTCTCTCTCTCTCTCTCTCTCTCTCTCTCTTCCTCCCCCACTTCCCTCTCTCTAAAACAAAAACAAACAATAAATTTTAAAAAATATGGCCAGCATGGGAAAATGCAAATAAATTTCCACAATGAGATACCACTACACAACTACTAGAATGGCTGTAATCAACAAGACAAGCAATACCAAGTATTGATGAGGATGTTAAAAAAAAAAGAAAGAAAGAAAGCTGGAACCCTTATACATTTCTTGTTGGAATGCAAAATGCTGCAGCCATTTTGTATTTTGTTTGAATTTTATTTTACTTTTGTAAGAACACAACATATCTGTCCTGTTAGCAGATTTTACGTGTACAATATATTATTGTTGAATATAGGTACAATGTACAGCAGATTTCTAGAGTTTACTCATCTTGCTCTACTGAAACTTATGCCCTTGATTAGTAATTCCCCATTTCCTCTCCCCCCTCAGCCCCTGCAACCACCATTTCACTCTTTGAGTCTATGAATTTGACTATTTTAGATACCTCATATAACTGGAATTATGCAGTACTGTATTTGTCTTTCTGTGACTGGCTCATTTCACTTAGTATAATGTCCAAGGTTCATCCATGTTGTAGCATACTGCAGAATTTCCTTCTTTTTTGAGGCTGAATAGTATTCTAATGTATGCATGTGTACCACATTTTCTTCATCCATTCACCTGTCCATGGACATTCAGGTTGTTCCACATCTCGATTACTGGGAATAGTGCTGCAATGAACATGGGGATGCTAATATCTCCTCACGATGCTGATTTCAACCTTTTGGGTAAATGCCTAGAAGTGGGATTGCTGGATCATATTATAATTCTATTTTGAATTTTTGGAAGAACCTCCATACTGTTTTCCAAAGCAGCGGCACCATTTTGCATTCCTGTCCAAAGTGTGCAAGGATTCCAATTTCTCCATAGCCTCAACTTGTCTTTTTATTTATTTAATCCGCACCTGAGGATATGTTTTTATTTTATTGATTTTTAAGAGAGAGGGGAGAGAGCAAGAGTGAAAAACACTGATGTGAGAGAGAAACATCCATCAGTTGCCTCCCACACATGCCCAGACTAAGATCAAACCCACAACCTAGGTATGTGCCCTGACCAGGAATAGAACCACACTTTTTTGGTGTACATGATAATGCTCCAAAAAACTAAGCCACCCAGCCAGGGCTGTGTCTTGATTTTTTTTATAACAGCCATCATTATAGGTATCTCATTGTGGTTCTGATTTGCATTTTCCTGATGATTAGTGACTTTAAGCATCTTTTAAAAAATTGATTTCAGAGAGGAAGGGAGAGAGAGATAGAAACATCAATGATGAGAGAGAATCATTGATTGGCTGCCTTCTGCACACTCCCTATAGGGGATCGAGCCTGAAACCAGGGCACATGTCCTGATTGGGAATTGAACCTTGAACTCCTGGTTCATTGGTTAACACAACCACTGAGCCACACTGGCTGGGCAACTTTGAGCATCTTTTTATATATCCATTGGCCATTTGTACATCTTTGGAGAAATGTGCACTCAGGTACCTAGCTCATTTTAAACCAGTTTATTAGTTTTTTTTGTTTTTTTTTTAAACAAACATATAAACATTTTATTTTTTATTTTTTTTAATATATATTTTATTGATATTTTACAGAGAGGAAGGGAGAGAGATAGAGAGTTAGAAACATCGATGAGAGAGAAACATCGATCAGCTGCCTCCTGCACATCTCCCACTGGGGATATGCCCGCAACCCAGGCACATGCCCTTGCCCGGAATCGAACCCGGGACCCTTCAGTCCGCAGGCCGACGCTCTATCCACTGAGCCAAACCGGTTTCGGCCAGTTTATTAGTTTTTTTGCTTTTGAGTTGTAGGAATTCCCCACATATACTGGAGATTAACCCCTTATCAGATATCTGGTTGCCATATGTTCCATTCCATTTGTTGCCTCTTCATGCTATTGATTGTTTCCTTTACTGTGCAGATGCTTTTTAGTTTGATGTAGTCCCATGTGTTTATTTTTGGTTTGTTGCCTGTGCTTTTGATGTTATTAAAATGTGCTTACATTTTTGGTCCAGAAAGTCAACTTCCAAGAAAGTATCCTACAGAAATTCTTACACAAATAAATAGTTGCTGCAGTTTTTTGTTGTTGTTGCTGCTGCTGCTGCTGCTGTTATGATAATAGAAACGATAAATATCCAAGAATAGGGGATTTGATACAATGTAGACATTAAAAGGAATGAATTAAGTCTATTCATGTCAACACTGAAAGCATTGTCCTGTACACCAAAGCCTTGTCAGTTCCATTCCTGAAGGTAACCGGTCCATGTTTCTCACACATAAATGTTTCTCTCTCTCTCTCTCTCTCTCTCTCTCTCTCTCTCTCTCTCTCTCTCTCTCTCCTCCCTCCCCCTCCCTCTCCCTCTCCCTCTCCCTCTCCCTCTCTCTCTCCCTCTCTCTCCCCCTCCTTCTCTTTAAGCATGTCCTCAGGTGAGGATTTTAATTAAGTAATTAATTAAATATATTAACTTATTTTTTAAAGATGCTCAAATGTATTGTTAAGTGAAAAACAGTTATATAGTATAACTTAATTTTGTTTAAAAAGTAACCTTTTATATAGTTATAGAAGAAAACAGAGGGAAAATACACTGAACTGTAAATAGTAACTATGGATTGGGAAGGAGAGAGGGAATAGTGTATAGGGGACTTGCAGTGTCTCTATTCCATCTTTATTTTTATAATAATCATATGACTTTTGTAAGATGACAGATAATAAAGTTGTTTTTTAATTACATAACGTTCAATGTCTTATGAATCATTTCAGATATTAATATCTCCATTTTATAAACTAAGTTCTGAGGAGTAAAGTGATTTCTTCAAGGTCACACAGCCAGGCAAGCCTCCCCAGAGGTTACGGATCCCTGAGCTGACAGGATCCGCCCAGTGGGGAAAGACCAGACCAATCACGTTTGCTGTGATGTCACTGTAAAGGCCTGGGATTGGTGCCGCTGCACGGAGGCGAAGACTCTGGATCTTTGGGCTTTCCCAGGGTGGCGGTGGAGGCGCCAGTTCTTTGCCCTCTTCAGGTCCCCTGAGAAACCTCAGCTTGGGTGGGTTAGTCATGGAGGCGCCCTGTCTTCCAGCTGTGGCCAGCCCCCTAAACCCGTGCCGCCAAGCCTCCAGCCCTCCCTCCCTCCCTGCACCCTTCCCACCGGAAACAGGGAAAGTCACGGACAGGTGCCAGCTCTGCTCAGACTCCATTTCAGCAGCACGATTGCACACTGCCTAGTCCCCACATGACCCGCATGGCTTTCAGCCAGCGCAAAGCAATCAGAAACAGGATTCCATGTAACCTCTGATTTCCTGCCTGTCTTCGAGGCGTCCAGGTTGTTCTGCAAGCTGGGAAGGCCCCTGCTTTATAGAGAAGAGAACTGGGGTCCAGCGGGAAGAAAGAGGCTTGACCCAAGGCACACAGAAAGCTAATGAGAGAGCCGCGGAAGCCACAGGCTCTTCCTTCAGGGCAGCAGGTTGGATGGTAACCTTTCCAACTTTATCTTTACCCCCTCCTGACAAATACCCTCTCTCCTCTTTGTCTTTGGCTTCTTCTGTGCCCCTTGCCCATATATTATTAGCTGAGGCAGCAAGGTTTATCAAGAATAATAAAGACCTTGGAATCACACTAACCTTGGAATCCCATACTTGCCATGGGAACTTGGACAAGTGGTGTTACTTTTCTAACCTATTGTCCTCATCTGCCATGGGATATTAATCTCTATTTACCTTATTGGAATAAGTGAGAAGTTGGGAGGCAGTTTGGTATAGAGTAATCGTTTTCAAAGTATGGTCCCTGGACCAGCAGCATCAGACTCATCTGGGAATTTGTTAGAAATGAATGTTCTCTGGCCCCACCCAAACTTACAAATGGAAACTCTGGGATCCCGCAATCTGGGTTTGAAGAAACTTCCGGTGGTTCAGACAGATGAGAATCACTGGTATATGATGGGTAAAGCCGTTGGGTTTGGAGGCAGACAATTCTGGGTTCCTCTAAAAGTGTCTTAGTTCTGCCTCTTACTATTTGGGACGCCTGACGCAAAGCATTTTACTGACCTGCTCCTTAGTTTACTCATCTGTGAAATGGAGGTCCTAGTTGTAAATACGTAGCAATTATTTATTTACTCATTCAACAATTCTAAGGTCTAGGGATACATCATTGAACAAAACAGACAAAAATCTCTGCCCTCAATTAGTATTTGTTCTAATGAGATTTTTTGAGAATTAATTAAAACAATTATGATAATGACATATAAAGCTTAGTGCAACACTGGCACATGTTGAGCACTCAGCAAATGGCAGCTATTATTCATGATTGGGAAAGGACTTGTGAACAGTAAATGTCATATTAATTAAGCCGTGAGCTCTCTGAGAATTGTCTGACTCATGCCTATGTCATCCAAATCTAACATAGGGCCTGGTGCAGATTAGGGTTCTGTAAATATTTGATGAATGTATGTACAAAAGTTACAGGTAAATACTGATTGGGTTTCCTTTATAATCCACCTTTAGAGTTGAGATCTCAATAAGAGGCTACACTCTCCAATAAGCCTTCCTCTCCCCTTACATATGTATATTTCACTCTCTCCTGTTATTGAAAAGTAACTTTCTCTGCATTCATATGTTGTGACAGGTCTGAAATGTAGTCGGTGCATGATAAATCTGTGTTGAATGAATGAATGGATGCCTGGAGCAGCATAAAAATTTGTTGGAAATAGCAGTGGAATAGGGGTCAGGAAACTTCAATTCTAATTCCTGTTCTGCTACTTCTATAGTATTAGGCCTTGGCTAAATCTGTTTTCTTTTCAGAGCCTCAGTCTCCTAAATCTGTAAAATTGAACTGATAATCACTAACCCACCACAATGCTGGAAGGAGACAGACCAACTTTAATACCTAACTTCTTCTCAGGAAGAATTGCTGAAAGTAGTCAAAGGAGACCAGGTAGGTAGACTTCTTTGTAAATCTTTAAACACTGTAAAAATTAAGATACTATTTCTAGTCAGATAATCTACAACTTACAGAATTTACTGGTTAGAAATGACTCTAAATCCTTGCTACTGAAAGTGTAATCTGCAGCATGGGCATCACTTGAGATCTTGGTAGAAATGCAGACTCCTGGAGCCCACCCAGACCCCACTAAACTAGAATCTACATTTTAACAAGATCCTCAGGGGATTCAGATGCACAATAATGTCTAAGAAGCGTTGCTTTAAATCAGACTCATAGGACACGTGCACTAAAAAGGTTCTGAAGATACCAACTCCCTCATTTTACAGATGAGTACACTGGGGATCAGCAATGAAAGGGACTTGTTTTTCAAAAAGGCAGATCTAAGTGTGTCACACCCATGTTGTAAACCAGTGGCTCCACATTACCCACATCCTTCTTTGCTCAGCTCAGCTCAGCATTGACCCCTGCTTACCACTTAGCTCATCTGGCCCCTGCTTACCACTGCACTTGAGGCTTCCCCACCTATAAAACGAGCCAATCACTCTGACCCTCTCTTCTTCTCTGAACTCCTCAGGCTGTTTTCTCTCTGTGGGCTGTCCTTCCCACTTTTCTCCAGCCTCAGCTCAGACATGACACCCCCAGTCCTTGGTTAGGACCCCTTTCTAACCTTCACTGGTTGACAGTGGGCTTAGATTAGCCCGCTGAGATCTCCTCCACCTCTTGAAGCTCTGTGGTCATTACCTGTTTTTACGATGCCTGTTTTACCAGACGATGAGCTCCTTAAGGGTAAAAACCAGAACTCAGGTCCCCACACAGAGCCAGGCACTTTGTAAGAGCTCGTTTTATCCTATTTGACTAATGATTTTTTAAGGTGTCTTCCAGGTATAACTCTGCATTTTGAGATTGTGAACTCCCAGAGAGCAGGAACTTGATGTTCTCTCCTTGCGTCTGAGCACAGTAGGCACTCATGCACCACCCAGGCTGACTGTTTCAGCTGTTGCAACTGTAGCCATTCCCATGATGTGCTCCCTACCTGGTTCACTGCAGCATGTTCAGGGAAGTACAACTGACCCTGTGGCAGGATAGTAAGAAGCTAGGAAAGAGAACCAAGATGGCGGCGTAAGGTACAGACCTGTGCGTGCTGCCTCCCACAACAACATTGAAAATACCAACTATAAGACAAAACAGCTATCATTCAGAACCATGGGAAAGCTGGCCCAGTGGAAGTTCTACAACTAGAAGGAAAGAAAGAAGAGCATTGAGACTGAGTAGGATATGCAGAGGCACCAAGAACAGAGGTACGGAGTCGCGTGCCAGGCGGGCTACAACTGGATGTGCAGTTTTTTTCCATCGAAAGGGGTTACAAACTCTCGAATCCACTGAGCTTGTTTGGGGTGGGATTCTGAGGTCCCAGACCCCTACGGGGAGAGGCAGGACGGCCTTGCAGTGGGTCGGAAAGCAAGGGCAGCTTTCTCGCGGAGCTGCTCGCTGGCACTTGGGTACGCGGAGACGTGGAGTCACGGAGAGGTGAGGAGTCACGGAGACACCATTGCTGTTTGCTCCGCCCTGGTGATTCCCTGAGACCCCACCCTACTCAATTTACATCCCCGCCCAAGCTGTGCCAGAGGCACAAAAGGAACCACCTGCGCTTTTACAGCATAACCCAACAAACTGCAGATTTCAACTCCGCACCCATAAGGGACGCACTCAAGAAGCAGAATCAGGTTCGGAGGAAGCCGGAACCGGACCCGGCTGGGCCGGCAACATGGAACCGCTGTACCAGCAAACGCACAAACAGGTCCACCAGATCCAGTCTCACATGGGACGCTGGGAGATGGCAGACAAGCAGTCTGTGCATTTAGTAGAAAACGAAATCCAAGCAAGCATACCAGATATTCAGCCAGCAAGAACGCCTGGAGCCAAACCAGTTTGGCTCAGTGGATAGAGCGTCGGCCTGCGGACTGAAGGGTTCCAGGTTTGATTCCGGTCAAGGGCTGTACCTTGGTTGTGGGCACATCCCCAGTGGGGGGTGTGCAGGAGGCAGCTGGTCGATGTTTCTCTCTCATCGATGTTTCTGACTCTCTATCCCTCTCCCTTCCTCTCTGTAAAAAATCAATAAAATATATTTTTTTTTTAAAAAAAGAACGCCTGGAGATTTTGTCCAGCAAGGAGCTGCCCAACAAAAGACAGAATACCAAACTTCGTGTTGACCAGTTAAAGTATGATGTCCAGCACCTGCAGACTGCTCTCAGAAACTTCCAACATTGACGATACGCAAGGAAGCAGCAGGAGAGACAGCGGGAGGAGTTTCTGTCTCGCACCTTCACCCTCAACGTGGGATGCGGCGCCCCCTGCGAGGCTGCACCGGCCCCTGTGAGGCTGAGACGGCCCCTGTGAGGCTGAGACGGTCCCTGGGAGGCTGAGACGGTCCGTGGGAGGCTGAGACGGTCCCGGTGAGGCTGAGACGGCCCCTGGGAGGCTGAGACGGTCCCTGGGAGGCAGCGACGGTCCCTGGGAGGCAGCGACGGCCCCTGTGAGGCTGAGACGGCCCCTGTGAGGCTGAGACGGCCCCTGGGAGGCTGAGACGGTCCCTGTGAGGCAGCGATGGTCCCTGTGAGGCAGCAACAGCCCCTGTGAGGCAGCAACAATCCCTGTGAGGCTGCGTCGGCCCCTGTGAGGCTGAGATGGCCCCTGTGAGGCTGAGACGGTCCTGGTGAGGCTGAGACGGTCCCTGGGAGGCTGAGACGGTCCCTGGGAGGCAGCAATGGTCCCTGTGAGGCAGCAACGGCCCCTGTGAGGCAGCGACAATCCCTGTGAGGCTGTGTCGACCCCTGTGAGGCTGAGACGGCCCCTGTGAGGCTGAGACGGTCCCTGGGAGGCTGAGACGGTCCTGGTGAGGCTGAGACGGTCCCTGTGAGGCTGCGTTGGCCCCTGTGAGGCTGAGACGGTCCCTGTGTGGCCGAACACAGGGACACGTCGCGGATGGAAATAGCCACATTTTCCATGTGTATGACCCGGCAACAAAAAGCGTACACCTATGGATGAGGACAGTGGGGGGGGCGATGAGGGGGGGGAAACTGGGTGGAGGGGAGCTATGGGGGGAAAAGGGGGAACAACTGTAATAATCTGAACAATAAAGATTTATTTAAAAATAAATAAATAAATAAATAAAAGAAACTAGGAAAATTCCTGGGCAAGTGGCATAGGGAAACTGAGACAAGAAAATTAAACAAGGGCTCTCAGCTCCCCTGTGCGTCAGACAGCCTCTCCTCCTCGCTGGGCCAGCCACAACCCTGAGACACGATGGTGAAGGTCGGAGTGAACAGATTTGGCCGCATTGGGCGCCGGGTCACCAGGGCTGCTTTTAACTCTGGCAAAGTGGATATTGTCGCCATCAATGACCCCTTCATTGACCTCAACTACATAGTCTACATGTTCCAGTATGACTCTACTCACGGCAAGTTCAAGGGCACAGTCAAGGCTGAGAACGGGAAGCTGGTCATCAACTGGAAGTCCATCTCCATCTTCCAGGAGCGAGATCCCGCCAACATCAAATGGGGTGATGCTGGTGCCAAGTATGTTGTGGAGTCCACCGGTGTCTTCACTACCATGGAGAAGGCTGGGGCTCACTTGAAGGGCGGGGCCAAGAGGGTCATCATCTCTGCCCCTTCTGCGGATGCCCCCATGTTTGTGATGGGTGTGAACCATGACAAGTATGACAACTCCCTCAAGATTGTCAGCAATGCCTCCTGCACCACCAACTGCTTGGCCCCCCTGGCCAAGGTCATCCACGACAACTTTGGCATCCTGGAGGGACTCATGACCACAGTCCACGCCATCACCGCCACCCAGAAGACCGTGGATGGCCCCTCTGGGAAGCTGTGGCGTGATGGCCGAGGGGCTGCCCAGAACATCATCCCTGCTTCTACTGGCGCTGCCAAGGCTGTGGGCAAGGTCATCCCTGAGCTGAATGGGAAGCTCACTGGCATGGCCTTCCGCGTCCCCACCCCCAATGTGTCAGTGGTGGATCTGACTTGCCGTCTGGAGAAAGCTGCCAAATACGATGATATCAAGAAGGTAGTGAAGCAGGCATTAGAGGGCCCCCTCAAGGGCATCCTGGGCTATACTGAGGACCAGGATTGTCTCCTGCTACTTTAACAGTGACACCTACTCCTCCACCTTTGATGCTGGGGCTGGCATTGCCCTCAATGACTACTTTGTCAAGCTTGTTTCCTGGTATGACAATGAATTCGGCTACAGCAACAGGGTGGTGGACCTTATGGTCCACATGGCCTCCAAAGAGTAAGAGTCCCCCGGACCACCAGCCCCAGCGAGAGGAAGAGAGGCCCTCCACTGCTGGGGAGTCCCCGCCCCAGATTGAACCCCTGACACACTGAGAATCTCCTGACCACCGTTTCCATCCCAGACCCCCGGAGAAGGGGAGGGGCCCAGGGAGCCCTGCTCTGTTGTGCACCATCAATAAAGTTCACTGCACACCCCCCCCCCCAAAAAAAAAAGAAAAGAAAAGAAAAGAAAATTAAACAAGGCTAAACAGTTTGGGCAACTTGCAGCCATCTTGTGAATCGAAAAACCTTATCTTCCCCAACCAAGGGCGCTTGGAAGCAAATAGTGTATACCTCTCCTCCCTAACTAGAGAATACATAGCTTAAATCAACCTGGTCAGGGAAATAGAACCAATTAATGCCTGTGCCAGCTAAACCCGAGGACAGATGAAGTCTGGGGAACGAATAAGGAAAAAAACATTAAAGCCAGACAGACCTAAATAACAGTAAAACAGACCACAGAATAATCCCAAACTCCCCTATACATGAATTTTGATACATCAGCATATTAAAAATGTACCTGGAAAGCTGATAAATATTCTATTGAAACCCTTCCCTAAGATTCTCCCCTGTAGAAAAAAAAAAGGGGGGGGATAAAAAGCCCTGAGGACAAAGACTCAGTGCAAGCTCACTCTCGAGCACACCCGTGCCCTTTCCCAGGCATGAAATTTTTATTTCTTCCTGAACTCCAAGGGTCCCCACGAGACTTGCAACCAGGGGAGCAGTGGGCAATGGTAGCACGATCAGGACTCAATCCCTGATCCTGTCTCCAAAGCCCCCTTTTCTCTGACTTCCCAGTGAGCTGACAGCAGCCCCACCATGGCTCATTGCTTTCCTAGAACATTTCCAGAGAACAAAAGCAGAGCACCGCCTAAGCTCCCTCCTGTTGTTTCTCCTACCCTAAGTCTCTCCTTTGTTTCACTGTCCCCAGTTTTAATAAACATATTCTCAAAGTGACCTGGACTCGGGCTGTGAAATCTTTCCTACACAAAGTCAAGAACGTACACACTACAGACTGGTCTAAGGCAGACCCACTCCAAGCTGGGCCCAACAGGTTGCAACACCAAGGGTAAAGAAGGGATCAGATTTCATGGTAAAGCATCTCAAGTCTGGGCTGAGATTTAGTGCCTTCTAAAAAAAGCTCACAAGCTTTCAAATAGTTATCCTGAGGCTTCCTGTTCCTACATAAGAACTGATACAGGTGGGTGTTCAGTACACGTTGATGAGTGAATCAATGAAAGGGTAAATTAATCTGGGCTTCTAAATGTAACCCAGTGATGACTGTCAGTAAGAAGCAATGGTGTAGGAAAAGAGTTGTGACCAAATGTCGCATAGTGTTCAAGATGAAGTATAAGCTCCTTACTGTTGCACTGCTGTAAGTAAGTTACTGCCCCAGCCTGCCTCTCCAGCTGTGTCTTCCCTTCTATGCATACTCTGTGTCTCATCCCAAACTATTCGTAGAGCCAAAATACATCATCTGGTTTCATGCTCCAGTGGCTTAACACCTATTGTTCCCTATACCTAGAATACTCTTTCCTCCCCTCTTAATTTAGATAATTCTTATTTACCTTTCAAAGCTCGAGTCAAGTAGTACCTCTTCTAGGAAACCCTCTCTGACCGTTCCACTGGGCTGGATGCCTCCTTTGTGCTCTGGTAGGTGCCTGCTTCTTTTTATAAAAGTATTGATCATAATTTTTTTTGCTGTTGTCTATCCTTTTCACCCACAATCCCTGAGCACCTTGAGGGCAAAGACTGTGTCTTATTTATTTCTGTATCCTCAGTGTCTAGCATATGACATAACACAGAGGAAAGGCATGTGGTCCAGTGGAAAGAATGCATAGTAGAAGAGTTATTATTATTAGTCAGAGAATTTGCCACCCATAGAATTCCAGGTTTAAGAAGGGCTTTGTTACACCTGAAACTAATACAAAATAATATTGAATGGAAACTGTAATTTAAAAATTAAAAGAAGAGCTTTTCAAAGCCTCATTTAATATTTGTTGAGGAATACATTATTTACATGCATATGCCTTAGAAAAGGGATAGGACAATGAAAAGTAGATGACAGGCAAGGATGCCTGGAAAAAAGTGAAATTTACACACACACACACACACACACACACACACACACGCAGCGCATGGCAGTTGCATCATTTGTAGTACTTGGATGAATGACCCTCTATAGAAGGGTATCCTGGAGATAATGCCCTAATAGTCTGATTGGGGTGACTGTTCCAAACTAGCTGCCACATCTTCCTTTCTCCCATCCCACTGTAGCAGAGAGTAGCAGAAAGGTTAAAGGCAAAGGGAAAAATCCTCACA